TGACTTGAATTACAAGATTTGAAGTTCAATCAACAAATTATTTTTGCCAGACAACTTGTTTCAACAGAAGAAGATACAAGAATAAATATTAATTTTATAACAATAAGGCAGTCATTAACTTATTGTATTAAGATTAAAATTTATTAATTTGTTTAAATATTGAAACATGAGAGAGTATGTAAAAACAGCACTCCTATTTATACAAAATTTCTTAATATATTTTAGTTCTATTTATATTACAAAATTATAAAAAGATATATATAAAAGATAGAAAAGATAAATAGAAAAAGGTAGAAAAGGTAGAAAATAAGGATAGTAAAGATAGAAAAGGTAAATAATAAAGATAAAAAAGATAAATAATAAAGATAGAAAAGGTAGTTAATAAAGATATAAAAGGTAGAAAAAATAGATAAATAAGGTAGAAAAAATAGATAAATAAGGTAGAAAAAATAAAAAAGATAGATAATAAGATATAAAAGATAAATTATAAAGATATAAAAGGTAGAAAAGGTAGAAAAGGTAGATAATAAAGGTAAAAGGAGTAGAAAAGATAGAAAGTAAAAGTAAAAAAGGTAGATAATAATAATAATTATATAATTATTAAATAATTAATATATATAAATTATTTTTGTCAATTTGTTATTTTGTTACTATTTTTGAAAATTTTCATATTTTCTACTATTTTAAAAGATTTGTCAATTACGAAATTTTTGAAAATAAATGTAACATTACTAATAAGAATTTTGTTATTTATTAAATAAAACAATTAGAGTGAAAGTTTCTAGTGATAGGAGACTCTTCTTTTATATATTTTCAATCTTTAATACAATTTATATAATTAATAACTATTTTAAATTATATTATAATTTACAGATAATACTAACAATACAAAAGAAATATAAATACTGAAAAATTATACAAATTCATTAACAAGAAAATACAAAAGAAAATTAGTTGCAATTTTAGTGATTAAAGATAAGAAAAAGCAAGAGTTTAAGTAAAAAAAATATTGTAAAGAAAAAAAATAATAATATAAATATGATTAGAAATAATTATAATAAAGAAATTAAAAGATAAAATGAATAATTGTAACAAGAGTGAAAAAAGAAAATAAATATAAAAATAATTGATTAAAAATAATGAAATTAAAGATAAAAATAAATGTAATAGAAATATAGATGAAATAAATAAATAATAAAAATATAAGTTTTATAGTAAAATACAAAAATAAATAAATTTAGTAAAACAATAAAAGAAAATAAAAACAAAAAATATATAAAAATATAATTATTATTAGGTATTATAATTTAAATATCAAAAAGATAATAATATATACTAAATATAATTATATAATAGAATAAAAATAAAGAGGCAAATTAATTTGATCATCATTGAGTTATATAATATTATATTAATGTTCTTTGTAATATATCTTAATTTTTATTGATTAATAATTAAGTAATTATGAAATTTTTAATAAAAATGACAACAGTAATTATAAAAAATAAAGACAATATAACAATAATTGAGAATAGATTAAGACAAAAACAAAGATAATCAAAGAGAAAATTAATAGAAAATTAATAACAAGAAAATAAAACAAACAAAATAAAGCAAAAAAAAAAAGAAATAAAACAAGACAAAGTTAAACTAGAATATAATATTTTTAGTTTATTTCATGTTATATATAGCAAATTCAAGTTATATTAATTTATATATAATTTATATATATAAATTACAAGAAAAATTAATAAAAATATAGATCTATAAGATATTAAAACATGATAATTATTGTATAATATTAAAAAAGGATTTGTGTAAATCTATATATTACTAATTAAATTAATATAATAAAAGATAAAAATAAAATATTTAAAATATAAATTAATGTAAAATTATTATAAATTAATTAGTTAAATAAATAATAATGAAATTTACATAAAAATAATATTATAAAATAAAAAATTATTGGTAAAAATATAAATAATAATATTGGATAATAAAAGAAAATTATGAAATATAGAAAATAAAATAAAAAAATAAATAAAATAATAGAGAAAATATTACTGTACTTTTTATAATAAATGTGTACTGTCCAAGTAATAAAAGATAGAATAATAACAATATATAAATTATATTTTTGTATAATTATGAATACTTATTTTTATAATAAAAAAATTAGATCTAATCTATTAAAGTTTTTATTTTATATAAATAAATTAATAATAACTGAAATTAAAAATTCAATTATTGGAAATTTATAAATTTATCAATTTGTTTCTTTTTTACTAAATTTTATTTTATATTATAAAAAATTATTATTAGCTTCAATAATATAATTATAAAAAAGATTAATTATATATTTAAATATAAATATTAATAATATTATTATACTTTTTTAAGTTTTTCTTTTATTTTTTTGATTTAATTAAAATAAAAATATTTTTGTTCTTTTTTATTGTTTTTATTATTTTTATTACAATTAAATCTCTCTATAATCACACCTATTTATAGTTACATCTTTCTATAGTTACTTTATTTTGCTTTCTTATTTATATATAAATATAGTAAAAAAATCTTTTTATAGTTATATCCTCTCTATAGTCACCAAATTTTGCTTTTCTAAGGATGGTAACTATAAAGAGATTTGACTATATATTAAAATTATACAAATTACAAATAATTTTATAAAAAATATTCTATTCTTGTGATTATTATACAAATAAAATTTTGTATAAATTATATAAAGTAAATTTTCTAGTTTTTATATTCTGATCAAATTACCAAATTAATATTAAGAAAATTTAATTTTAAAATATAATATTTTAAATTTCAACTTAATTAGATTCAAATTTAAATATTTTTTATAGTAAATTGACAAGTAAAATAAAATTATAAATTATAATCAGAATTATAAATCAATATAAAATAGTTAATATTTATAATCAATATTTATAAAGTTGTCTAGAATTAAAAACATTTTTAATAATTATTATCAATATTTTTTAATAAAAAATAAATTATAATTATAAGTAAAGTTATAAAATATAATTAAAGCTACAAATTTATATAATAATTAATATAAATAATAAATATTTAGTTATATAATAATTATAATAAATATTATTAATATAAAAACAAAAATATTTCAGTTATATCTAAGCAAACTTTTATATTTTAATAGAAAATATAAACTATATTTATAATCAAATTTGTAGAAAATATTTAAAGTTACAAATTTACATATAATAATTTGTATTAAAAATAATTATTTACAAAGTTATATAATAATTTTAATAAATATTTATTAATATAAAAACAAAAATATTTTAGTTTGTTTAAGTAAACATTTATTTTTTAATAGAAAATATAATCTATAATTATAAGTAAAATTGTAAAATATAATTAAAACTACAAATTTATATATAAAAATTAATATAAATAATAAATATTTATAAAATTATATAATAAATTACAATAAATATTAATATAAAAACAAAATTATTTCAGTTATATTTAAGTAAACTTTTATTTTTTAATAGAAATATAAATTGCATTATAAATAAAATTGTAGAACATAATATAATTTATAAATATTTATATAATATTAATAATGAATATTTACAAAATTAATAATTAAAATAAATATTTATATATTCACTAATATTAAAAAATTTTAAATTTAAAAAATAAAAATTCAGATACCTTGATCAAAAAATATTTTTGTTAATATGAAAATCAAAAAATTTACTTTGTATAATTTAATATAAATAATAAAAAAATTTCAATATAAAATTAATAAAATACTTAAAATTATTATATATATACTTGTTTTCTTAGAATAATATTACTTATTATTCAAAATTCATATACTTATTCAAAAATATTATTATTTTATCTTTGAAAAATTTTGAAAAATCTATATACAAAAAAGAATTTCTATCATAAAGATTTTTTTGCTAATTCAACTACTACTTGATCAATAATACTTTTAATTTATTTTGTATATCTTGTGATGCACTAACTAAAAAGTTATAAATCTTAAAATATAAATTGGTGCTTATATTAATAAGAAAAATCAAAGTAATATTATAACATGCTTTTTTTGTTCAAAAATGCTCTTCTTACAAGAAAAGAAATGTAAGAGAAAAAAGTCAGATGGCTAGGATCCTATTTCGGGCGTGAAAAAAGCATATCGATATATTGATGTGTGTGAGAAAAACACGGGGGTATTGATTAATCGAAATTGTTCTACACTAATCAGCTAATCACTTTGTTTATCTTGTGTGACCAAATTCAACCCAGAATTTGCACGTGCTCCAAAGTCGAATGTCGGTAAGAGAGGATCATTCCACGTAATATCACATATAAAGCCACCGATCCTCGCCAAAAACGGATACCTCTAGCTTTGCTCAGCGAGATACATAAACAAGTTTTCTAAAGCACATAAACCATGTTCACATGCTTCTTTACCTTCTTCTCCTAACACGAAACTTGTAATAACAGGAATATTCTACAGTGAGCGCTCGTTACAGTAACACTCATTAAGATAACATCTCATTATACTAACACATCTTCCCTCGATCACGTAATAAGCTTTCATAGTATTCATTTTTTCGATAGAGTAACATCTTGATATAACCAAATCTCTTCCCCCGATTACGTTATTGTATCGAGCGCCCACTGTATTTCGTTATTTTTATTGGCGTATTCGTGTGAAAAATCCAGGCTTTTGAGAAAACAATAACACTATCAGTCTTAAGGGCTTGTCATTTGATTCATATGATCAAATTACACAACTTTTTAGTAACTTAAATTTTCACACACAAAGTCAAATTAGGAATCAATGAACCCAGTTAATAAGCGATTTATAAACTCAGAACGAGAATGCAAGATGAAATACGAAAGAAAAACCACTATTTGTGAAATGAGAGTCTTCAGACACTCAAATTTCATCATCAATTACAAAACTAAAAATCATAAATTAGAAACACCCTAATATGAAGCCTTCCAAAAAAAAAGTTTACATCCGAAACGGAATTATCTACCACGGTGATGAGGCTATTCATGCAAAAAAATTATCGGAGGCCGAAAAACAAGTAAAAGAGTTGAAAGTTTCACTTGAAAACATTGCAGCCTGTGACTCTAATGGCCCTAGTGATCCTAACGATCCTAACGATCCTAATGGTTCTAATGATTCTAATAACGATAATAATGATAATAACGATAATGACGATAATGATCTAGATATGCCGACATTTTCTGCCTGCAACGGTGAAAAGGATGGTTGTGATCGTAAAACTTTTGGCAAAATATCCCTTCCGTTTGGAATGGGGAAAGCCCAGTTCGCTAAAATGACTACCTGTGGAAATGTACTAGGAAGCGAAAAAAAAGTGGGTATCAATCACTATAATTCTACTCAGATCAGTGGTCAAGCGCGTAACTTCGAAGCGACGGTTTTTGATTCAGATTACAGCAGAAATATTATTGGTGACAATAACAAAGTGAAAATTGACGACGAAAATGTAAATGTTGCTAACTACTTGCATGAAAACGTCCAAATCACTGCAGTCAATGAGGTTGCCCACGATAATATAATCGGTTCCAATAACAGGGTGAATAGTAAGCGCGTAAATCGGAGTCTCATCAACTCCAGAGTAGGAAACGTCAATTTAACAGGCGTTGACGCGAGTCTTCACAAAAATGTGATTGGAGATGGCAACATGGTAACCTCTTTTGAAGCAAATTTAACTGGGATTAACATAGAACATAGAAATGTCAATATTACAGGAATTAAGAGCGGTGCTAGCGGGAATGTGATTGGGGATGGCAATATAGTTACCTCTTTACGTGCAAAAGCAACGCTTATCAACTCTCAAACGGAAAACATCAATATATCGGGCCCTGATGTCTCCAAAGATAAAACAAATATAGGAAGAAACCTCAAGCTGGACGGTCGAGCAACCTTTACTGGAATCAATCATCAAAGAGGGAATATCGGTATTAAAAAAGACAAGTCTGGCAAATTGAAATTCAGCGCGGATGCGACCTTGTTCAGCAACCAAGAAAACAACATAATTATAAATAAAGGTCAATCTGGTATTAGAGCAAGCATAACCGGGACCGGCAGAAGTACGGGAAATATAGTCATAAGCGAACCATCACTTGGTGCTGATATTGGCTTCAGCGGACAGGTCTCTTCTGGTAACGTAAGTATCGGCACACGTCTACAGCTTAATTTCGGGCCTTCTTTGGACATAGGACTACCTCTTGGAGGAAGTTCAAGTGGCGATGACAATAACGATGACAATAACAAGAGTGGTGACAATAAGGGTGGTGACAATAAGGGTGGTGACAATAAGGGTGGTGATAATAAGGGTGGTGATGATAAAACTGGCAGTGACGATAGAGACGACGGTGGCGACCCAAATACTCACGAAAACAAGGACAATATCAAGGGTGGCGACGATAAAACTGGCAGCGACGATAGAGACGGCGGTGGCGACCTAAATACTCACGAAAACAAGGACAATATCAAGGGTGGTGACGATAAAACTGGCAGTGACGATAGAGACGGCGGTGGTGACCCAAATACTCACGAAAACAAGAGCGATTGTTCAGATAAGGACGTGACACGTGCTAGCGGAGAAAATGATTCATCTAATAATGAAACTGCCCCTGAAAATTACTTTTTCTTCATCACTAGCAATCAGGATTCTGCACTGGAATTTCAAAATGATGACATATATGGAAGTGACCAAAGCAACTGCAATAATACTAGCACATATCAACCTTATCCCACGGGCGATTTTATCATCTCAACCAATGGACATGACCAAACTACCACCAGCAATTCATTCCAAAATGGTGACATTCATCGGGATGATCAAAGCAACGACAACGACAACGACAGCAATACTAGCACTTTTTTTACCTCCACAGATGGATATTCTTCTCTCCCCGTTATGAATGACTTAAACTCTTTTATTGTCGAAGATGTTACCACATCTTCATTTGGCACGGATCAAGGTTCTGCACAGGATGCGCAGAGCAATCATGAGCCTATTAAACTTCGTAACATTAGTTTGCAGGCAGATAACACTATTGAAGGGAATAGTAACTATATCATTAATAACGGCAATGACAGTATAAATCACATCGCAGGTGAAGCAAATCATTCTAGCGCAGAAAATAAATTTCTCCCATCCACCACTTCTAATGACAACACAAAATCTTCCTTATCTTCGGGCAATGACAATACGAAATCTTCAATTTTGGATAGCGCTGATGGAGCTGGAAATCCGCAAAGTCTTACAGTATTTGAGCAAGTCTTGGCAGACACAATTCGCGAGCATCCACATTTGGCCCCAGCACTACGTACCTCACTATATAATACCACTCCTACATCGGATTCTAATTCAAAATCCTCAGGAAATTCTGCTATAGATATTGATGCTTTTATTAAGAGGGGTATTCATCGTGCTGAAGTTGCTGTAAAACATAAGCAAGCCCAGAAAGATGATAGCAATTTATCCGTTACATCTGGTCCTAGTGAGTCCACACGTGCCGAAGAAGCCACAAAAGGTAGTAATCAAACTCAGAAAAAAGGCGGCTCTACACACTCTGTCGATGACAAACTATCGCAGAAAAAATCGAAGGAAGATGAAAAGGAAGAGGAGGAAGATGAAAAGGAAGAAGAGGAAGAAGATAAGCCTGCAAAACCATGCAAAAATCACTCTCCGAGTGTCCGTTGTTTTCGTTGTCTGTCAGGTGCCAAAGGGAAAAAAGTTAAAAAATTGAGAGGAAATGTGTTTGGTTTTGCTAGTTGAAGACGAAATTGTTAATAGATGCAATTACATACAAAAGCGTGCATCTTATAATCTCCTAAAATTTCATTTATGTTTTTTATAACTTGTAACTATCTAAAATTTGAAAAATAACCTCTACGTTATTAAATAAACATGCACTTCAAATTTTATATAGTGATAGTATCTATCCAAGTTATGAGTATCGCATTATCGTTATTAATCGACATAAGGTGATACGTACATTGTATTTATTTTTGTATCTATGACAGATGACCGGATCATTTGCTATTTTTCGATAAATGAATGTTATTGATCACACGATTTCCTTTACTGATATTTATTGTCAGGGACCAACATGAGATTGATCCAACATGAAGTTGATCATGTGTTTATGCAAAAAATGTAAGTTTATGCAAAATGTAACGGTAAATTTATGCAAAATGTAATACATAATTCAACTCGGATTATTCTCTGTGTTACAGTTACGTGTGATTGGTAAAACAACCAATTTAACAAACTGCAAATTTCAACTTTGTCCTGTTTTCTTTTTCATTGTACTCTCCGGAGCAGACTGGTAGTGCAGATATTAGTGTCATCTTTAGCGGTGGTGAATTTGGTAGTTTCAGGGTGACGAGAAGTCAATTTTTACGACCACATTTTACTTCTTGGCTGCAGTTTTCAAACGTGACTTTCTCAAGCGTTTTACCTATAGTTCTCTCCAACACCGTCTACTTTCCGTGTTCGAACATTCCTAAAGGAGAGGGGGTTAATAGTTCTTTGCTTTCATTTCTCAATTTTTCCTCCATCAAAAGTTCATTATCGCTTCACTGTCTGGATGACTTATCATTTCTTGTTGCTTTGGTGGTGTGGGGTTCGGTAATTTAAGCTTAATCAATTCCTAGGGTTCTTCTAGTTGTGATTCTTTGGTGTTGTTGACCCAATGAGCATAGTTACAAAATTGAAGGAATTTCCAGCCCAATTATTTTTTAACTTTACTTTTGGTTTTTTTCAATTTCTTCGTATTTAGTCTTCACTCTCAGGATCGCAACTGGCTCTTCCTGTAGGTTCCATGAATTCTCTTGTTGTTTCCGTTGGTTCATGTTCTCTCTGTTCACAAGAACGCTGAGAGACCGATACTGAATATAGGTGAATTGTACTCACTTCCAAGTGGACGACTCCTTTTCTTAATCTCATCTCACCTATTAAACGCGGAATCATTGTATTTGATGCTTTCAGTGGATCCAGTAGCCTCGTTTTTGGCAATAATTTCTAAGCCGTTGTTTTCGCACGTGTTATTTTCTTTGTACACTATAATTGATAATTGTTGCAAATGGTTTTCTGGTCCCATTTCGTTACTTGGGTTTCCTGGTGGTGGCACAAGATTATTGGAATGATGATAATCTTTCTGACCGATGTTCCTTTTTTCATTTCCACCAGATGGTCCAGACTCCCATTCAATATCTCAGCTTGACTCTTCGGGAATAACAAACGTCAATTCATCATTGTTTAGAATAGGTTCTTGTGACATTTGATTTCCTTTATTTGGACATTTCTAATATTTTAGTCACCAATAGATTCATCTGACGAAGACATTTCTTTGTCAATAATTTGTGCTTATCTTTCGAGTTTCGATTCCTGATGATTTGGACATTGTGAACATTGCCTACGGCTTTTGATTTTTCTATTTATTTCGTCAAATACATCATTATTTTCATAATTGGATTCCTTGCTCATGTGACTATATATGCGTAGGTATGATTTGGGTAAGTTGGAGAAGAGAATTAGTTTGGGAGGATTATTTTTGTATTTATCCAAAACCCTTTTTTAATATACATTTTTTATTATTATTATTATTATTATCATTATTATAGTCGCATTCTAATTTATAAACTAATCTAAATTACATTGTGATTGTACAACTCGTTTTTATTAAATTGAA